AACCTGTACAACTTAAACCTGTACAACTTAAACCTGTACAACTTAAACTGCATAGTAATTGTTCAATAATTGTCAACCAGTACTTCATTTTATATCATTCAGATCTTCAACCAATAATTTGTTATATCATCTTACCTCCAACCAATAATTCATCATACTCACTTTCAGTCAACCAATAATTGTTTGTTAATAATATTACATTTGTAGCAATATGAGAAACTACAAGAGGAGGTATCACTACTTAAATCACTACGTCATGAAAATATAGTCAGGTAAGCTATTGGAACAGATAATCCTAGGCCTCAGCATGATGCATAATGTTGTAATTTTGTTCCAGGTATATTGGTACATGCTTAGATGAAAACTTTGTGGTCAACATATTTATGGAGTATGTCCCTGGTGGATCAATTGCACAGGCATTGAAGCGATTTGGTGGTACTTTTGTAGAACCTGTTTTTCGCCGTTATACCAGGCAGATATTATGTGGTGTAGAGTACCTCCATGTCAACAATGTTGTACACAGGTATGGTACAATATTATATCCCTTGTTTTGTCCTAGTGATGAAAGGGAAGAAAGCTGTATTAAAGCTGATATGCACTCTGATAGCAATAATGTCAGTGATGATGATGATTAGTGATGATGACAGTGATGGTAATTATATCAATAAATAATGTTTTTCTTGCTCTAGGGACATCAAGGGAGGAAATATCATGCTTATGCCAAATGGTGTCATCAAACTGATTGACTTTGGTTGTGCTAAGAGACTCTGCATGGTAAGAAAACACAAAATTTATCAAATGTTATTAATTGATTTATTATCCCTCATATTAATAGTTATTAATGTAAATTTAATAAACAGAATTTAAGCCTGAGCAGGAGTAGTATGCTGAATTCCATYAAAGGAACTCCATATTGGATGGCACCAGAGGTCATCAAGGAGACWGGGGCTGGTACCAAGTCTGATATATGGTCAGTGTCATTTTTTCTTCCATTCAATYATTTGTCCAACCATTCAGTTTGTTTAATCTTCCATCCATCAGTTCAATCTTCTATTTTGTTCTTGTAGTTCTTGTAGATTAATGTTCTGTAGTTTGTTCATTTGTTTTGTTCATTATTCTTGTACAGGAGCATTGGATGTACTGTATTYGAAATGGCCACWGGTAGCCCACCATGGTCTGAAATGCAACCAATGGCAGCCATCTTCTCCATTGGCAATGGTTCTACAGTACCTCGGCTTGGTGAATCATTTTCACAGCTTGCAAGGGATTTCACCACAGCTTGTATGACAAGGTAGGAAAATTGTCAATC